TTGGAGCGGTTCTTTACAGGGTTCCTTAAAAGGGGGTTCTTGAAAGGGTCTCCTCAAAGGCTTCTTTTAAGGGCTTCCTTGGATTCTATAAGGGTTACTAGAAGGCTTCCCTGACGGGTTTCCTTGAAAGGGTTTTTGTGAAGGGTTCCTCTAAACGGTTACAATGAGCGACAGCAAGGGTTGCTCTGAGGAGTGCTTTGTATAGAAGCCCGTAAACCGAACACCCTAAACCCTGGATAAGTACCAACACTATTCCTGGGCGGGGGGGGGGGTTGTTAGTAAACTTTAAACCAGGAGGGTACTATAAGGGTACTGTGCAGGTTTCGTGAGGGTTTTTTAACGGCTACTGAGTACTGTCAGGGTTTCGCGTTAAGGTTTGAGGATTTAGTTTCGGAGTTTCGGGCTTGCGCTGTGGGCGAGGTCGCTGCCGAGATGAGAAACGGCAAGAACGGCAAGACAGAGGACTGTGTGTTGGGTAAGAGCTGGAACAGTTGTGTTTGAAGTATGTTGTTTTGTTGCTGGCTTGTCATGCAGAATTCCTTATGCAGTTGCAGTAAGCGCTTTCTGAGACAGGTTCCTTGTTCGGAGCCTGACTCCAGGCGAAAGCCCAGGTTTGCGTGCTACCACAACCCTAGACATTGCTGGTTTCATCCTGAACAACTCCGCAGGGACTCCAATATCCCTTAATTAAGGAATATACCTTAAATCATATTAGGGATCCTACTACAATTTCAGGTATATTCCTTAACTAAGGGATATTGGAATCCCCTAAACCCTAAACCCTCTAGATCTCTTATAGACCCCCTTAACAGGAACCCTAACCCTAGTATTCCTTAATTAAGGGATATACCTTAAATCATATCAGGGTTCCTACTATAATTTAAGGCATATTCCCTAGTTCAATATAGAACCCTTTTAGATCCCTTTAAGGAGCCCTTAAGGTATATTCTGGAGTCTCTGAGAAAATCAATGCTTCACCCCCGAAGCCCTAAGCTCTTCGCACCGAAACGCCCTTAGCACCTCTACCTCTTTGCCCTTCTTCTTGGTTGGGTTCCGACGGTTTAGGGGTTTAGGGTTCTAAAGTCTTTAGGCTGTAGGGCTTTGGGGTTTAGGGTTTAGGGTTTTAGGCTTTAGGGTTTAGGGTTTTGGGGTTTTAGGGTTTAGGGTTTGGGGTTTAGGGGTTTAGGGTCTTTAGGGTTTAGGGTCTTTAGGGTTTAGGGTTTAGGGTTTAGCCAGATAGTAGGAGAAATGGTATCCTCATTATTAAGGGTCTACGAATATGTATCATGGAGAGATGCATGGCCCTTCGTAGTAGCCCCATGAAAGACTGCTGCTGTATGGGAGCAGAACCCAACCTCAACACTAAACCCTAAAACCCCAAAGCCCTAAACCACAAAGCCTTAAACCCTAAACCCTGAAGACCCTAAACCCTAAACCCCTAAACCCCCAAACCCCAAAGCCCTAAACACCCTAAACCCTAAAGACCCTAAACCCCAAAACCCTAAACCCTAAAAACCTTAAACCCTAGAAATCCCGCAAAGCCCTAAAGACCCTAAACCCTCAAGACCCTAAACCCTAAAAGCCCTAAACCCTAAAAACCTTAAACCCTAGAAATCTTAAACCCCTAACCCCCAAACCCCAAAGCCCTAAAGACCCTAAACCCTCAAGACCCTAAACCCTAAGAATCCTAAACCCTAAACCCCTAACCCCTAAACCCTAAAAACCCTAAACCTTAAACCCTAAAGACCCTAAACCCCTAAAAATCCTAAGCCCTAAAAACCCATAATCCAAAAAATCCAAAACCCCTAACCCCGCAACCCGGGACCCCCTCCCCCCCCCTGCAAAGGAGCCTCTAGACCTCGGTCTGGGCCCAGAGCTCGTCGTGAAGGCTCGCGGGGGTCCTTCCGGGGTTTAGGGTCTTTAGGGTGTAGGGTCTTTAGGGTCTTTAGGGTTTAGGGTCTTTAGGGTTTAGGGTCTTTAGGGTTTAGGGTTTAGGGGTTTAGGGTCTTTAGGGTTTAGGGTTTAGGGTTCAGGGGTTTATTGGATGGGGATTTAGGGGTTTTGGGGGTTTCAGGAGTTTAAGGGTTGAGGGGTTTGTTGGATGGGGTTTTAGGGGTTTTGGGATTTAAGGAGTTTAGGGGTTTTAGGGAATTATGCAAGCAGTCAGCAGACAATCCGAGCGAGAGCGACGCCTGGATCCTTGGCAGGGATTTGGGGGTTTAGGGCTTAGGAAAGGTTTTAGGTTCTAGGGGTTCAGGGTTTAAGGAGTTCAAGGGTTAAGGGGTATAGAGATTTAGGGGTTTCGGGTTTAGGGAGACTGGGCCTCTCAGCAAACTGGCCCCTATACTATCAGAGGACAACACCTTCAGTAGAATCTGTAATGTACGGGGCTTAAATGGTTAGTTAGATCACAGCTTGGGGAGTATGTTATGCTCTGCTTAGCATAAAGGCGGAGACCGAAGGAATAGTCCGTTGAGGGCTCAGGCTGCATGCAATCTGTTGGATCAGAGGTGAACTGGCCCTGAGGTTTCGGGGTTTTCGGATTGAACATCTACATGTTGGTGTTGAGGCTAACCCTGAAACCCTAAACCCTAAACCCTAAACCCTAAACCCTAAACCCTAAACCCTAGACCCTAAACCCTAAACCCTAAACCCTAAACCCCAAACCCTTTCGACACCCACCCACCTGCTTCGGATGAGGTGCCGCCCTACGACCGCAGGAAGGTGGGTGTGTGAAGCTCGGCCAGTCCTACGTGGGACTTTCCGGAAATAGGGGACCCTGATAAGGTACCCTAACTAGTAGGATCCTTAATATAAGGGTCCCAAAATAAGGTACCCCTATTTTCGGAAACTCCCACGTAGCCATGACAAGGACAGTTTTGCCTCTCTTCTTCCTAGCTGCTGCTCTTCCAGTGTGGGTGTGAAGAGTGGATTTAGGGTAACTTGAGCTCCCGCAGCGTTCGGCTTCCCAGCTTCAGCTTCTGGCACGATTTCCTCGCGCAGTGCACGGAGTTAGCCATGTCGGACGAGGTCGTAGCTCTTGTGGTTGACAATGGCAGCGGCATGTGCAAGGCAGCCCCTCTAAAGCCAATGCTGGAAGTTGTTTTGCTTGCTATCGGCTCCGTAGCCTGCCGTGCCTCCTGCCTTCCCAAACGCCCCACCAAAGATTTCGACTCCGCTGCCGCAGGCGGGTTTCTCCGGCGATGATGCTCCGCGAACGGTCTTCCCTTCCATCATCGGGCGGCCGAAGATGCCAGGCATCATGGTCGGCATGGACCAGAAGCTTGACCTGTGAGTGAAGCCTTTATTCTCTGCGACGCTGCCGGTTCGTAGCATAGCGTGTTGCTGCTGACACTGGCACGTGCCAAGGAAAGACCATCTCGTCGGCGATGAGGCGCAGGCTAAGCGCGGTGTCCTGGCCCTCAAGTACCCTATCGAGCACGGCATCGTGACGAATTGGGACGACATGGAGCGAATATGGCACCACACTTTTTTCAACGAGCTGCGTGCATCGCCTGAAGAACATCCGGTTCTGCTGACAGAGGCGCCGCTGAACCCAAAGGCCAACCGCGAGCGCATGACTCAGCCCCTTGGTGTCCGTTTCAGTCAAGTAGGGAGTGGGCATTCGGCACGGGACCATCGCTGGCGCTTGCAGTACCACATGTGAGGCTAGAAGCAGCTAGAAGGGCATGCCACGCTCCGCTAAGGATTATGTTTGAGACGTTTGGAGTGCCGGCGATGTATGTCGCCATCCAGGCAGTGCTGTCGCTGTATTCCTCCGGCAGAACCACCGGTATTGTCATGGATTCGGGAGACGGCGTCTCTCACACCGTGCCTATCTACGAGGGCTATGCGCTTCCACATGCAATCGCACGCCTGGATCTAGCTGGCCGCGACCTTACCGAATACTTGATGAAGATCATGATGGAGAGTGGCTACTCCTTCAGCAGCAGCGCCGAGCGCGAGATCGTGCGGGACATCAAAGAGAAGCTCCCTCATGATTAGTTGGAGGTTTTGGGTAGTTGAAGTTTGCAACCCGGTCTGTTGTACGTGGCTCTTTTGTTAGGTTTTGTTGTGTGCTATAAGGAAGCTTTGCTACATCGCGCTGGACTTCGACAGCGAGATGAAGTCTGCAGCGGAGAGCAGCGACAAGGCGAAGACGTACGAGTTGCCAGATGGGAACATCGTCTCCTTGCAAAGCGAGCGGTTCCGCTGTCCGGAGGTGCTGTTCCAGCCCAGCTTGGTGGGCAAGGAGGCGATGGGAATCCACGACACCACCTTCCGGTCCATCATGAGCTGCGATGTGGACATCCGCCGCGACCTCTATCAGAACGTGGTCCTGTCCGGAGGATCCACGATGATGCCGGGCATCGGCGAGCGCATGACCAAGGAGCTTTGTGCCCTGGCGCCTTCCACCGTGAAGGTGAAAGTCATCGCACCTCCTGAGAGAAAGTACAGCGTGTGGATCGGTGGCTCCATCCTCTCGTCGCTGAGCACCTTCCAGCAGATGTGGATCTCCAAGGCAGAGTACGACGAGAGTGGGCCCATGATCGTTCACCGCAAGTGCATCTAGACTCTAGACTGCCAGTCGGCTGGTGGCCATTTTTGTTTATGCAGCCTTGCATGCATGCATTTGTCAGCTGCTGTGTTGCAGAGGGCCAAGCTCTCAAGTTCATAGCCAGCTTGACAGAGATGTTTGTGCAGTCTGCAAGCTTTCCCCTCACATGTACAGCAGGGAGCACCCGAAGGAGCACAGAGGTTGCTTCGGGTGTCATTGCCGCGGTGGCGCCATTTGTACCCACGGAACGCCATCGCAGAGCAAAGGCGGAGATGATCGTAGATCGTTCTTTTTGGCCATGAGTGTACATGTGTTTGCGCAGCCTTCGCGTCATTTAGGTTAGAATCAACAGGCGGTTGTAATGACATTGCAGCTGCCGATTCATAGTTCCACGAGTCTTAACAGCATCAAGAGCCTGCGTGTGCCGGTGGTGCATGTGGAAATGTCCGAGAAATGCAAGACAATTCCGCAAGTGTTTCGGCTTCCCAGCTTCAGCTTCTGGCACGATTTCCTCGCGCAGTGCACGGAGTTAGCCATGTCGGACGAGGTCGTAGCTCTTGTGGTTGACAATGGCAGCGGCATGTGCAAGGCAGCCCCTCTAAAGCCAATGCTGGAAGTTGTTTTGCTTGCTATCGGCTCCGTAGCCTGCCGTGCCTCCTGCCTTCCCTTAACGCCCCACCAAAGATTTCGACTCCGCTGCCGCAGGCGGGTTTCTCCGGCGATGATGCTCCGCGAACGGTCTTCCCTTCCATCATCGGGCGGCCGAAGATGCCGGGCATCATGGTCGGCATGGACCAGAAGCTTGACCTGTGAGTGAAGCCTTTATTCTCTGCGATGCTGCCGGTTCGTAGCATAGCGTGTTGCTGCTGACACTGGCACGTGCCAAGGAAAGACCATCTCGTCGGCGATGAGGCGCAGGCTAAGCGCGGTGTCCTGGCCCTCAAGTACCCTATCGAGCACGGCATCGTGACGAATTGGGACGACATGGAGCGAATATGGCATCACACTTTCTACAACGAGCTGCGTGCATCGCCTGAAGAACATCCGGTTCTGCTGACAGAGGCGCCGCTGAACCCAAAGGCCAACCGCGAGCGCATGACTCAGCCCCTTGGTGTCCGTTTCAGTCAAGTAGGGAGTGGGCATTCGGCACCGGAACATCGCTGGCGCTTGCAGTACCACATGTGAGGCTAGAAGCAGCTAGAAGGGCATGCCACACTCCGCTAAGGATTATGTTTGAGACGTTTGGAGTGCCGGCGATGTATGTCGCCATCCAGGCAGTGCTGTCGCTGTATTCTTCCGGCAGAACTACCGGTATTGTCATGGATTCGGGAGACGGCGTCTCTCACACCGTGCCTATCTACGAGGGCTATGCGCTTCCACATGCAATCGCACGCCTGGATCTAGCTGGCCGCGACCTTACCGAATACTTGATGAAGATCATGATGGAGAGTGGCTACTCCTTCAGCAGCAGCGCCGAGCGCGAGATCGTGCGGGACATCAAAGAGAAGCTCCATCATGATTAGTTGGAGGTTTTGGTAGTTGAAGTTTGCAACCCGGTCTGTTGTACGTGGCTCTTTTGTTAGGTTTTGTTGTGTGCTATGAGGAAGCTTTGCTACATCGCGCTGGACTTCGACAGCGAGATGAAGTCTGCAGCGGAGAGCAGCGACAAGGCAAAGACGTACGAGTTGCCAGATGGGAACATCGTCTCCTTGCAAAGCGAGCGGTTCCGCTGTCCGGAGGTGCTGTTCCAGCCCAGCTTGGTGGGCAAGGAGGCGATGGGAATCCACGACACCACCTTCCGGTCCATCATGAGCTGCGATGTGGACATCCGCCGCGACCTCTATCAGAACGTGGTCCTGTCCGGAGGATCCACGATGATGCCGGGCATCGGCGAGCGCATGACCAAGGAGCTTTGTGCCCTGGCGCCTTCCACCGTGAAGGTGAAAGTCATCGCACCTCCTGAGAGAAAGTACAGCGTGTGGATCGGTGGCTCCATCCTCTCGTCGCTGAGCACCTTCCAGCAGATGTGGATCTCCAAGGCAGAGTACGACGAGAGTGGGCCCATGATCGTCCACCGCAAGTGCATCTAGACTCTAGACTGCCAGTCGGCTGGTGGCCATTTTTGTTTATGCAGCCTTGCGTGCATGCATTTGTCAGCTGCTGTGTTGCAGAGGGCCAAGCTCTCAAGTTCATAGCCAGCTTGACAGAGATGTTTGTGCAGCCGGCAAGCTTTCCCCTCACATGTACAGCAGGGAGCACCCGAAGGAGCACAGAGGTTGCTTCGGGTGTCATTGCCGCGGTGGCGCCATTTGTACCCACGGAACGCCATCGCAGAGCAAAGGCGGAGATGATCGTAGATCGTTCTTTTTGGCCATGAGTGTACATGTGTTTGCGCAGCCTTCGCGTCATTTAGGTTAGAATCAACAGGCGGTTGTAATGACATTGCAGCTGCCGATTCATAGTTCCACGAGTCTTAACAGCATCAAGAGCCTGCGTGTGCCGGTGGTGCATGTGGAAATGTCCGAGAAATGCAAGACAATTCCGCAAGTGTTTCGGCTTCCCAGCTTCAGCTTCTGGCACGATTTCCTCGCGCAGTGCACGGAGTTAGCCATGTCGGACGAGGTCGTAGCTCTTGTGGTTGACAATGGCAGCGGCATGTGCAAGGCAGCCCCTCTAAAGCCAATGCTGGAAGTTGTTTTGCTTGCTATCGGCTCCGTAGCCTGCCGTGCCTCCTGCCTTCCCAAACGCCTCCCCCCCAAAGATTTCGACTCCGCTGCCGCAGGCGGGTTTCTCCGGCGACGATGCTCCGCGAACGGTCTTCCCTTCCATCATCGGGCGGCCGAAGATGCCAGGCATCATGGTCGGCATGGACCAGAAGCTTGACCTGTGAGTGAAGCCTTGATTCTCCGCGATGCTGCCGGTTCGTAGCATAGCGTGTTGCTCCTGACACTGGGACGTGCCGAGGAAAGACCATCTCGTCGGCGATGAGGCGCAGGCTAAGCGCGGTGTCCTGGCCCTCAAGTACCCTATCGAGCACGGCATCGTGACGAATTGGGACGACATGGAGCGAATATGGCATCACACTTTCTACAACGAGCTGCGTGCATCGCCTGAAGAACATCCGGTTCTGCTGACAGAGGCGCCGCTGAACCCAAAGGCCAACCGCGAGCGCATGACTCAGCCCCTTGGTGTCCGTTTCAGTCAAGTAGGGAGTGGGCATTCGGCACCGGAACATCGCTGGCGCTTGCAGCACCACATGTGAGGCTAGAAGCAGCTAGAAGGGCATGCCACACTCCGCTAAGGATTATGTTTGAGACGTTTGGAGTGCCGGCGATGTATGTCGCCATCCAGGCAGTGCTGTCGCTGTATTCCTCCGGCAGAACCACCGGTATTGTCATGGATTCGGGAGACGGCGTCTCTCACACCGTGCCTATCTACGAGGGCTATGCGCTTCCACATGCAATCGCACGCCTGGATCTAGCTGGCCGCGACCTTACCGAATACTTGATGAAGATCATGATGGAGAGTGGCTACTCCTTTAGCAGCAGCGCCGAGCGCGAGATCGTGCGGGACATCAAAGAGAAGCTCCATCATGATTAGTTGGAGGTTTTGGTAGTTGAAGTTTGCAACCCGGTCTGTTGTACGTGGCTCTTTTGTTAGGTTTTGTTGTGTGCTATGAGGAAGCTTTGCTACATCGCGCTGGACTTCGACAGCGAGATGAAGTCTGCAGCGGAGAGCAGCGACAAGGCAAAGACGTACGAGTTGCCAGATGGGAACATCGTCTCCTTGCAAAGCGAGCGGTTCCGCTGTCCGGAGGTGCTGTTCCAGCCCAGCTTGGTGGGCAAGGAGGCGATGGGAATCCACGACACCACCTTCCGGTCCATCATGAGCTGCGATGTGGACATCCGCCGCGACCTCTATCAGAACGTGGTCCTGTCCGGAGGATCCACGATGATGCCGGGCATCGGCGAGCGCATGACCAAGGAGCTTTGTGCCCTGGCGCCTTCCACCGTGAAGGTGAAAGTCATCGCACCTCCTGAGAGAAAGTACAGCGTGTGGATCGGTGGCTCCATCCTCTCGTCGCTGAGCACCTTCCAGCAGATGTGGATCTCCAAGGCAGAGTACGACGAGAGTGGGCCCATGATCGTTCACCGCAAGTGCATCTAGACTCTAGACTGCCAGTCGGCTGGTGGCCATTTTTGTTTATGCAGCCTTTCGTGCATGCATTTGTCAGCTGCTGTGTTGCAGAGGGCCAAGCTCTCAAGTTCATAGCCAGCTTGACAGAGATGTTTGTGCAGCCTGCAAGCTTTCCCCTCACATGTACAGCAGGGAGCACCCGAAGGAGCACAGAGGTTGCTTCGGGTGTCATTGCCGCGGTGGCGCCATCTGTGGCCACGGAACGCCATCGCAGAGCCAAGGCGAAGATGATTGTAGATCGTTCTTTTGGCCATGAGTGTGCATGTGTCTGCGCAGCCTTCGCGTCATTTAAGTTAGAATCAACAGGTGGTTGTAATGACATTGCAGCTGCCGATTCAGAGTTCCACGAGTCATGACAGCTTCAAGAGCCTGCGTGTGCCGGTGGTGCATGTGGGATGCCCGAGAAATGCAAGATGATTCCGCAAGTGTTTCGGCTTCCCAGCTTCAGCTTCTGGCACGATTTCCTCGCGCAGTGTGCGGAGTTAGCTATGTCGGACGAGGTTGCAGCTCTTGTGGTTGACAATGGCAGCGGCATGTGCAAGGCAGCCCCCTCTAAAGCCAATGCTGCAAGTTGCTGCAAGTTGTTTTGCTTGCTATCGGCTCCGTAACCTGCCGTGCCCCCTGCCTACGCAAACGCCCCACCAAAGTTTCGACTCCGCTGCCGCAGGCGGGTTTCTCCGGCGATGATGCTCCGCGAACGGTCTTCCCTTCCATCATCGGGCGGCCGAAGATGCCAGGCATCATGGTCGGCATGGACTCGAACCTTGCCGGCTCAGAAGAATGAAGTCGTGTGAGTCTGCCGGTTTGAAGCATGCTACTTCTGACACTGAGACGTGCTAAGGAAAGACCACTTCGTTGGAGATGAAGCGCAAGCTAAGCGTGGTGTCCTGGCCCTCAAGTACCCTATCGAGCACGGCATCGTGACGAATTGGGACGACATGGAGCGAATATGGCACCACACTTTCTACAATGAGCTGCGTGTTTCACCTGAAGAGCACCCGGTTCTGCTGACAGAGGCGCCGCTGAACCCAAAGGCCAATCGTGAGCGCATGACTCAGCCCCTTGGTGTCCGTTTAAGTAGGGAGCGGGCGTTGGGCACCGAAACATCGCTGGCGCTTACAGAAGCGCATGTGAGACCAGAGTGCTAGAAAGACATGCAACACATGCAACACTAAGGATCATGTTCGAGACGTTTGGAGTGCCGGCGATGTATGTCGCCATCCAGGCAGTGCTGTCGCTGTATTCCTCCGGCAGGACGACCGGCATTGTCATGGATTCGGGAGACGGCGTCTCTCACACCGTGCCTATCTACGAGGGCTATGCGCTTCCACATGCAATCGCACGCCTGGATCTAGCTGGCCGAGACCTTACCGAATACTTGATGAAGATCATGATGGAGAGTGGCTACTCCTTTAGCAGCAGCGCCGAGCGCGAGATCGTGCGGGACATCAAAGAGAAGCTCCATCATGATTAGTTGGAGGTTTTGGTAGTTGAAGTTTGCAACCCGGTCTGTTGTACGTGGCTCTTTTGTTAGGTTTTGTTGTGTGCTATGAGGAAGCTTTGCTACATCGCGCTGGACTTCGACAGCGAGATGAAGTCTGCAGCGGAGAGCAGCGACAAGGCGAAGACGTACGAGTTGCCAGATGGGAACATCGTCTCCTTGCAAAGCGAGCGGTTCCGCTGTCCGGAGGTGCTGTTCCAGCCCAGCTTGGTGGGCAAGGAGGCGATGGGAATCCACGACACCACCTTCAGGTCCATCATGAGCTGCGATGTGGACATCCGCCGCGACCTCTATCAGAACGTGGTTTTGTCCGGTGGCTCCACGATGATGCCGGGCATCGGCGAGCGCATGACCAAGGAGCTTTGTGCCCTGGCGCCTTCCACCGTGAAGGTGAAAGTCATCGCACCTCCTGAGAGGAAGTACAGCGTGTGGATCGGTGGCTCCATCCTCTCGTCGCTGAGCACCTTCCAGCAGATGTGGATCTCGAAGGCAGAGTATGACGAGAGTGGGCCCATGATCGTCCACCGCAAGTGCATCTAGACTCTAGACTGCCGGTCGGCTGGTGGCCATTTTTGTTTATGCAGCCTTTCGTGCATGCATTTGTCAGCTGCTGTGTTGCAGAGGGCCAAGCTCTCAGGTTCATGGCCAGCTTGACAGAGATGTTTGTGCAGCCTGCAAGCTTTCCCCTCACATGTACAGCAGGGAGCACCCGAAGGAGCACAGAGGTTGCTTCGGGTGTCATTGCCGCGGTGGCGCCATCTGTGGCCACGGAACGCCATCGCAGAGCCAAGGCGAAGATGATTGTAGATCGTTCTTTTGGCCATGAGTGTGCATGTGTCTGCGCAGCCTTCGCGTCATTTAAGTTAGAATCAACAGGTGGTTGTAATGACATTGCAGCTGCCGATTCAGAGTTCCACGAGTCATGACAGCTTCAAGAGCCTGCGTGTGCCGGTGGTGCATGTGGGATGCCCGAGAAATGCAAGATGATTCCGCAAGTGTTTCGGCTTCCCAGCTTCAGTTTCTGGCACGATTTCCTCGCGCAGTGCACGGAGTTAGCTATGTCGGACGAGGTTGCAGCTCTTGTGGTTGACAATGGCAGCGGCATGTGCAAGGCAGCCCCCTCTAAAGCCAATGCTGCAAGTTGCTGCAAGTTGTTTTGCTTGCTATCGGCTCCGTAACCTGCCGCGCCCCCTGCCTACGCAAACGCCCCACCAAAGTTTCGACTCCGCTGCCGCAGGCGGGTTTCTCCGGCGATGATGCTCCGCGAACGGTCTTCCCTTCCATCATCGGGCGGCCGAAGATGCCAGGCATCATGGTCGGCATGGACTCGAACCTTGCCGGCTCAGAAGAATGAAGTCGTGTGAGTCTGCCGGTTTGAAGCATGCTACTTCTGACACTGAGACGTGCTAAGGAAAGACCACTTCGTTGGAGATGAAGCGCAAGCTAAGCGTGGTGTCCTGGCCCTCAAGTACCCTATCGAGCACGGCATCGTGACGAATTGGGACGACATGGAGCGAATATGGCACCACACTTTCTACAATGAGCTGCGTGTTTCACCTGAAGAGCACCCGGTTCTGCTGACAGAGGCGCCGCTGAACCCAAAGGCCAATCGTGAGCGCATGACTCAGCCCCTTGGTGTCCGTTTAAGTAGGGAGCGGGCGTTGGGCACCGAAACATCGCTGGCGCTTACAGAAGCGCATGTGAGACCAGAGTGCTAGAAAGACATGCAACACATGCAACACTAAGGATCATGTTCGAGACGTTTGGAGTGCCGGCGATGTATGTCGCCATCCAGGCAGTGCTGTCGCTGTATTCCTCCGGCAGGACGACCGGCATTGTCATGGATTCGGGAGACGGCGTCTCTCACACCGTGCCTATCTACGAGGGCTATGCGCTTCCACATGCAATCGCACGCCTGGATCTAGCTGGCCGAGACCTTACCGAATACTTGATGAAGATCATGATGGAGAGTGGCTACTCCTTTAGCAGCAGCGCCGAGCGCGAGATCGTGCGGGACATCAAAGAGAAGCTCCATCATGATTAGTTGGAGGTTTTGGTAGTTGAAGTTTGCAACCCGGTCTGTTGTACGTGGCTCTTTTGTTAGGTTTTGTTGTGTGCTATGAGGAAGCTTTGCTACATCGCGCTGGACTTCGACAGCGAGATGAAGTCTGCAGCGGAGAGCAGCGACAAGGCGAAGACGTACGAGTTGCCAGATGGGAACATCGTCTCCTTGCAAAGCGAGCGGTTCCGCTGTCCGGAGGTGCTGTTCCAGCCCAGCTTGGTGGGCAAGGAGGCGATGGGAATCCACGACACCACCTTCAGGTCCATCATGAGCTGCGATGTGGACATCCGCCGCGACCTCTATCAGAACGTGGTTTTGTCCGGTGGCTCCACGATGATGCCGGGCATCGGCGAGCGCATGACCAAGGAGCTTTGTGCCCTGGCGCCTTCCACCGTGAAGGTGAAAGTCATCGCACCTCCTGAGAGGAAGTACAGCGTGTGGATCGGTGGCTCCATCCTCTCGTCGCTGAGCACCTTCCAGCAGATGTGGATCTCGAAGGCAGAGTATGACGAGAGTGGGCCCATGATCGTCCACCGCAAGTGCATCTAGACTCTAGACTGCCGGTCGGCTGGTGGCCATTTTTGTTTATGCAGCCTTTCGTGCATGCATTTGTCAGCTGCTGTGTTGCAGAGGGCCAAGCTCTCAGGTTCATGGCCAGCTTGACAGAGATGTTTGTGCAGCCTGCAAGCTTTCCCCTCACATGTACAGCAGGGAGCACCCGAAGGAGCACAGAGGTTGCTTCGGGTGTCATTGCCGCGGTGGCGCCATCTGTGGCCACGGAACGCCATCGCAGAGCCAAGGCGAAGATGATTGTAGATCGTTCTTTTGGCCATGAGTGTACATGTGTCTGCGCAGCCTTCGCGTCATTTAAGTTAGAATCAACAGGTGGTTGTAATGACATTGCAGCTGCCGATTCAGAGTTCCACGAGTCATGACAGCTTCAAGAGCCTGCGTGTGCCGGTGGTGCATGTGGGATGCCCGAGAAATGCAATATGATTCCGCAAGTGTTTCGGCTTCCCAGCTTCAGCTTCTGGCACGATTTCCTCGCGCAGTGCACGGAGTTAGCTATGTCGGACGAGGTTGCAGCTCTTGTGGTTGACAATGGCAGCGGCATGTGCAAGGCAGCCCCCTCTAAAGCCAATGCTGCAAGTTGCTGCAAGTTGTTTTGCTTGCTATCGGCTCCGTAACCTGCCGTGCCCCCTGCCTACGCAAACGCCCCACCAAAGTTTCGACTCCGCTGCCGCAGGCGGGTTTCTCCGGCGATGATGCTCCGCGAACGGTCTTCCCTTCCATCATCGGGCGGCCGAAGATGCCAGGCATCATGGTCGGCATGGACTCGAACCTTGCCGGCTCAGAAGAATGAAGTCGTGTGAGTCTGCCGGTTTGAAGCATGCTACTTCTGACACTGAGACGTGCTAAGGAAAGACCACTTCGTTGGAGATGAAGCGCAAGCTAAGCGCGGTGTCCTGGCCCTCAAATACCCTATCGAGCACGGCATCGTGACGAATTGGGACGACATGGAGCGAATATGGCACCACACTTTCTACAATGAGCTGCGTGTTTCACCTGAAGAGCACCCGGTTCTGCTGACAGAGGCGCCGCTGAACCCAAAGGCCAATCGTGAGCGCATGACTCAGCCCCTTGGTGTCCGTGTAAGTAGGGAGTGGGCTGGGCACCGAAACATCGCTGGCGCTTACAGATGCGCATGTGAGGCCAGAGTGCTAGAAAGACATGCAACACTAAGGATCATGTTCGAGACGTTTGGAGTGCCGGCGATGTATGTCGCCATCCAGGCAGTGCTGTCGCTGTATTCCTCCGGCAGGACGACCGGCATTGTCATGGATTCGGGAGACGGCGTCTCTCACACCGTGCCTATCTACGAGGGCTATGCGCTTCCACATGCAATCGCACGCCTGGATCTAGCTGGCCGAGACCTTACCGAATACTTGATGAAGATCATGATGGAGAGTGGCTACTCCTTTAGCAGCAGCGCCGAGCGCGAGATCGTGCGGGACATCAAAGAGAAGCTCCATCATGATTAGTTGGAGGTTTTGGTAGTTGAAGTTTGCAACCCGGTCTGTTGTACGTGGCTCTTTTGTTAGGTTTTGTTGTGTGCTATAAGGAAGCTTTGCTACATCGCGCTGGACTTCGACAGCGAGATGAAGTCTGCAGCGGAGAGCAGCGACAAGGCAAAGACGTACGAGTTGCCAGATGGGAACATCGTCTCCTTGCAAAGCGAGCGGTTCCGCTGTCCGGAGGTGCTGTTCCAGCCCAGCTTGGTGGGCAAGGAGGCGATGGGAATCCACGACACCACCTTCAGGTCCATCATGAGCTGCGATGTGGACATCCGCCGCGACCTCTATCAGAACGTGGTCTTGTCCGGTGGCTCCACGATGATGCCGGGCATCGGCGAGCGCATGACCAAGGAGCTTTGTGCCCTGGCGCCTTCCACCGTGAAGGTGAAAGTCATCGCACCTCCTGAGAGAAAGTACAGCGTGTGGATCGGTGGCTCCATCCTCTCGTCGCTGAGCACCTTCCAGCAGATGTGGATCTCCAAGGCAGAGTACGACGAGAGTGGGCCCATGATCGTCCACCGCAAGTGCATCTAGACTCTAGACTGCCGGTCGGCTGGTGGCCATTTTTGTTTATGCAGCCTTTCGTGCATGCATTTGTCAGCTGCTGTGTTGCAGAGGGCCAAGCTCTCAGGTTCATGGCCAGCTTGACAGAGATGTTTGTGCAGTCTGCAAGCTTTCCCCTCCCGTCACCCGCATGTACAGCAAAGAGTACAGTACCCCGAAGGAGACCGAGGTTTCTTCGACGCATTGCGCTGTCGCCAGGTTGAGGATTCAATCCAAGTTCTAGCTCCGGGCGCATGAGCGAAGGCTGTGTCTTCTGAAAGTCCTCGAGTATGGCCTTTTACACTCCCAGCCTCAAACCCTCAACCCCGAGCTCTGAACACCGAAACCCCTGAACCTTAAGCCCCCGCTGGAAAGCTCCAACCCGTAGTCCAAGGTGCTGCTTCTGAATATCGGCACTCCAGCTTCTACAGAGGCCTGCCAAGGTTCTATTTTGATCTCTAGTTTTCCCGTTGCGGGACCCCAAGCGCTTAGCATTTTCGGGTTTGACGGTTTTCGGCTTGCGGGGTGGCCTGGCTGCATCTAGTCTGCGAAGTGCGTGCCGGGCCTTTTGACCTCAACTAACCCTTAGCCCAGACCTTGAACCCCTAGAAACCCTAAACTCTAGGGCCCTAAACCCAAACCTTGAACCCCTAAAACCCCTAAACCCTAAGCCTTAAACCCTAACCCCCAAACCTTGAACCCCTAAGAACCCTAAACCCTAAACCCTGACCCCAAACCTTGAGCCCCTCAGAACCCTCAACCCTAACCCCAAACCTTAAAGCCTGCTGCACCACCTTAAAGCCCAGAACGTGGAAGCTTCCTAGAGCCACACAGGCTTGAACCCTGGGCCCAAAGCCCTAAGCCCCAAAACCCCTACAGAAAGCCGTAAACCCTAAAGCCCTAAGCCCCTGAACCCCTACATAAAGCCCTAAACCTTAAACCCTAGACCCTAAGTCCCTAAACCCTTGCATAAAAGCCCTAAACCCTAAACCCTAAGCCCCTAAACCCCTACATAAAGCCCTAAACCTTAAACCCTAAACCCTGGGCCCCTAAACCCCTACATAAAAGCCCTAAACCTTAAACCCTAAACCCTAAACCCTAAACCCCTACAGAAAGCCTAAGTCGCTCCGACCTCACCTGCTCTCAGGGGGTTTCCGACACTGCAGACGGACAAAAACGGCGCTTTAAGACAAAAGCCCTAAACCCTGGGCCCAAGCTTACCTTTGGTTAGTAGCGAATGGTAGTAATAGTAGTTATAATTGTATCCCATTCCTCCATTCCCTACTAACCAAAGGTAAGCAAGGCCCTAAGCGGATAGGTTGGGGATGTGCGCGACTACCTGGAAAAGTTCTTGGCGGACGATCGGGTGATTGAGATCGAGTTGGGATCCTGGTCTCCGCTACATTTTGGTTTAGGTTTTAGGGTTAAGGGTTTAGGGTCTCGAGATTTTCAGGGATTTTGGGTTCTGGAGTTTTGAGCTTTGTGCAGGTTTAGCATGTTGGATTCAGCAGGTTAGGGTCATATATCCTGCGCCCCGAAGCGTTTGCAGGGTGTAGTCCGGTTTCATGGATTTCATTGTGTTTCTTCATCAACTAGGATGCCTAGGTTCCTTTTACATGTACCCAATACCAAAAAGGGAGCCCCTTTGTATCCCCAGCTTACTGGGCATCCGAGTTAACCCCAAAAGTCCAGACCCAGAAGTGCTGTGGCGGCTTCGGGTCCCCAGAGACTCCAATATCCCCTAACTAAGGAATATTCCTTAAATTATAGTAGGATCCCAGATATGATTTAAGGAATATTCCTTAAATTATAGTAGGATCCCGAATATGATTCAAGGAATATTCCTTAATTAAGGGATATTGGAGTCTCTGGGTCGAGGGCTCCAGAGCAGACGAGTGAAGGAAAGTTCGGGTATTTCCAGCATCTTATGCTGTGTCCTACTGTATTTTGCTACAGGATGCTAGTTTCTGCTAGATTCTGCTAGATAATACTCTATTATAGTTATTATAGGGCTTGCAGGTGAGCGGTAGATTTATCATTATCAGTGGTAGCAAGAGCTGTATCAGTGTTTGTGGATGGTACCGGTAATAAGCACAGCAGTTTATCATGCAGGTGCTTGATACTGCGATGGCCGGCTTCATTGATCTTCTGCACCGCCTTCCTTGTTTCTCCTTATTCGACAGTCATATCTGTCCTTAGTTGTCAAATTCGTTGGCGCTTTTGTGCCTTTGTTCATGCGTCTTCTCGTTGTTGTCGTTGTTCCGGACGAGAGTTTTGATTTTGAAGCTTCGTTCTAAGAAGGCTTCATCTCTAAGCTCCAGCCATAACACTTACGGCCTACACCCAAAACATCCGTAGGCTTTTGTTCTGCCTACACCGCCAACCTCCATTCCTATACCATGCGTGGCCCACACCCTAACCCCTACTTGCCTTCCTTATCTTTTGTCAAAGCACAGGCGCGCAAGCCCACAGATAGAGAGAGACAGAGACAGACAGAGGCAGACAGAGACAGACAGAGACAGACAGAGACAAACAGAGACAGACAGAGACAGACAGAGTCAGACGGAGAGACGCGCACGCGCGCGCGCGCACGCACACGCGCACGCCTAGAGACAGATGCAGAGGCACGTACAGTGTAAGACGCGTCCCGTCCCGTGAATTCCAAGCCCTCGGCCCTAACCCACCAATCTAAGCCGCGTTTCATGTCTTAGCCATTAGGTCTCAGTCCTAGAAGAACCTTTCGCATGTTTTTTGTTTCACAGCAATGCTATTCACAATCATGATGTTAGTGCAAAAATCCTAATTCCAAGCCATAGAAAAGGAACTAACGATTTCTCCCAACACACGAATCACTGTAATCTAAACTCGACACCCAAAGGCCTTGAACCCTTTGATAAGTAGCCGTTGAGCCTCATAGCGACCCGAATAGTAACCCTTTGAATAACTAGGTGGCAATTTGGGAAACTTTTTAATTTCCCTTATGGTTCCTATAAAGGTACCTAGTCATAAATACTTTTCAGAGCCCCAAAACTACAACCCAGATAAAGTCCCGGGAATCTGCATCGTGGCCTCTTTTTACGTGCGCACAAGGCCCCCCTTTCTCAAGTGGCTGGTGCTGCAGGCGGGCGGGAGGTTAGGGTCCTTCCGAATGTATTTCAAACCTTCGGAGCTAAGGGTTTAGGGTTTAGGGTTTGGGGTTTGCGTTCAGAGTTCAGGGTTTAGGGTTTAGGGTTTGGGGTTTAGGGTTTAGGGTTTGCAGGCCAGGGGGTTGACACGGTTGGCAGCGGCGATTCGACTACTTGCGACAGGCACAAGTGCTCACTTTTTCGGATCGTGCGCCTTCTGCCCAGAGACTCCAATATCCCTTTATTAAGGAATATTCCTTAATTAAGGGATATTGGAGTCGCTTCCCGGCGTCAGGCTGACCGAATCATAACAACCTGGCCACATCGCCCTAAATTCAACAACCTTGCTACATCTTCTTAAATCCAAGAACCATGCTGCACCCGAGGCCTTTCATCCCCCAGACTGAACCTTACTGGGACCAGAAGCCTGAAGCACGAGAGTTGAAAAAACGCCGCTTGACAGCAAACAGTACTACAAAGAAACCAAAGCCCGTGGCTGAACTGCGAAACGATCGAGCCCAAACCGTGTGCGAAGCCCTCAACCCTAAACCTGAAAGCCTAAACGCTCAAACCCCAACCCCTGACATGACAAACTATGCAGTTACAACACCCTTAGCTGGGTTTAGGGTTTAGGGTTACTGGGCTTTGGAGTACCATACTTTAACACTTTTTTCTTAATGGAACCATTATAAAATACAAGTTCATACTCTTTTCTCGCTGGTTACTTAAAAGCCCAGGTTACTAGTGCCTTTGATTAATCCATTGATCCCCAAGCCGTAAGCATCCAGAATCCCAAACCCGCGACTCTCCAACCCCAACTCTGGCTCATTCAACCCTAAACCCAGAGACTCCAACATCCCTTAATTAAGGAATATGCCTTAACTCGTACTAGGGATCCTACTATGATTTAAGGTATATTCCTTAATTACGGGAGATTGGAGTCTCTGGGAATGGGGGTTTCCGACAATTAGGGGTACCCCCTTATCTGCGGGTCGTTATAATAAGGATCCTACTATTTTGGGAGTTTCCGAAAATAGGGGACCCTAATATAGTACCCTAAATAGTAGGATTCTTACTAGAAGGACCCCACAATAAGGTACCCCTAATTTTCGGAAACTCCCAATTAGGGTGCTATATTAGGGTCCCCTATTGTCGGAAACTCTCACCTTAAACCCTAAACCTTCTTAGAACCTTTATAGATCCCTTAAAGGAGCCCTTAAAGGAACCCTTATGGTACCCTTTAAAGGAACCCTAACAGGGTCCCCTAGTGTCGGAAACTCAAAAATCCGAAAGTCTAAACCCAGAACTTGAAAGCGACGGCTCTGACCTCAAAACCCTAAAGCATCCTCGCAGTTCTTGCTGCTGGTCAGGCAGGTTTCCCCAGTGCTTTGGGGATCCTTGAGATAGTGGAGGCTACATCTAGTGTTCAGGGTTTAAGGCTTAATCTAGGGTTTATAGCTTGATGTTGGGGTTAGGGTTGAAGACTGGTATCGTTCCTTGTATCGACGGAATTAGGATGATTCTGACCTTGCCTTTGCTGCTGGGCCTCGGCTTCGAATGACCCGTTCATGGTTTCTCTTGCTAGTTTTCCGTATTGCAGTTGACATCGTGGTTGTTGTTATTGAATCCGCTATTGCTTTGCTTCGTGTTTCGTGCGAGCTTCTGTGTGTTCCCTCAATCATGATCGAGTTCTGGAGTTAGGTTTCGGGCTTCGGGTGTCATGATCACCAGCATCACCATCATCACTCATCACCATGAGTGACACCGACAGCCAGGTCGTCTCGTGAGCGTTGATGAGTGCTGGCCAGCCTAGAAACGGGCCTGACAGTATGAAGGACAACAGTTTTAATGTTTGCCTAAATACTA